ATTCCATATGAAAGCTATAAATTAATTTCATAATAAGGCTGTGTACATTGGATACTATTTCTCCATTCCTGTGATACTTTGCTAAGAAGAACACTTTCCAGCTCCATCCATGTGAACATGAAGGACGTAAATTCTCCATCTTTCTTTATGGCTGCATAGTATTCCATGGTGTACATATACCACAGTTTGTTGATCTATTTGTGGATCGATGGGCACTTGGGCTTCTTCTATGACCTGACAATTATGAATTGGGCTGCAATGAACATTCTGATACAAATATTTTTGTTGTAATGTGATTTTTGGTCTTCTGGGTATATACCTAGTAAAGGAATTGCAGGATCAAATGGCAGGTCTATTTTTAGTTCTCTAAGTGTTCTCCAGACGTCTTTCCAAAAGGAACGTATTAGTTTACATTCTCACCAGCAGTGTAGTGTTCCCTTTTCTCCACATCCAGGCCAGCATCTCTGCCTTTCATCCTCACAGGCAGACAAGTTCACTAACTGCTATATAAAGGTGCAGCAGCCTTGGGCTTCCCGGCCACATGTGGCATTTAGGAAGGGAAATGCGTTGCTCTAACTTTCGGTAAATGAGAGAAGTGGAAGCACATTTCCTCTGTTGTAATAAAGTAAGAGGAAAAAGGAAACTGCTAACCTCCAATTGGTATCAAGGAAGATTAAACCCTGTTTTACTTGGAAGAGTTACAAACTCAGATTGAATACAGAATTCACTGGTATTAATTCAAAGTCGTCCTTTGCATCTTAAAACACCACTGCTATGATGACATACTGAGGTTTTACTTTCTGTCTTTCCCTCATTAAGGTACTGGGAAGACTATCCCATTTGCCCTTTCAGAACTTCTTTCTTTCTTTCCCCACCACTCTGCCCCAGGAGGCTGACTGCTCTGGAGTGCCTTGACAAGTCCTCTTGCCCTCTGAAGTCTGCTGGGGTCAGGGGAACGGGTAACGCTGGAAGAGACAGGAGGAAGAAGAGGAGTCAGGGGACTCATTATCGCATCTGTCTGTGGTGTTGGCTGTTCCGCTCACAGGCTCATCTCCTGTCCAGCAGCTCCTGTACAGACGGAGGCATTGCTGGGCCATGGAAACTTCCCTTGCCTTTTCAGATGACACTTTCCTGCTGGCCAGCCCTTGTTGGTTTCCTTTAAGCCTGCCCCAACTTAGTAAATAATCTCAGCATTACCTTTTCCTCAAATGTCCCATTTGAGTGGCCAGTTTTCTTCCTGGGACTCCAGCTGACATTCTCATCTAAGATCTTTCTGCCTGACAAACACAATTCCAAAACAGCAGGTGTGTGGAGATCGCTTACTACAAGTTCTTCATGTTACAAAGGAAGACACTGAAGATCCCAGAGAAGCACTGGGAACGTCCAGGCCACCATACAGCCACGTGTGGCATAGCCCAGACTAGAACCCACAGGTCTTGCTTCCTCACACCACTGCTCTCACCCTGGTGCCAAGTGGCACAAATTAAACAACCAAGCTTCCTCATTATTAGCAATAACTACCGAGCTATCCTGGTTAGTGCTTACTGATGGCTCCCACATGGCAGGGGCCGTGCATGGCATGTGGGTGCACCATCTTCAGTTCTCTCCCCCTGGGGACATGGTCACTACCCTCAGGCCAATGTCGTAGATGGATTCCTACCTGGGTCTTCTTGACCAGAATCACATGCAGACCGCTCTGTAGTGTGCTTCCAGCCAAGACCCATGATGAGGACTGAATCTGAAACTAAATAATGTCTACACGGGCACAATAAATGTCCAATGATGTTTAAGCCCAGACAGCTGCTGTGAGGACTGCAGGGGGTCACTCAGTCAGTGGGCAGGTGTCAAGTTTGCTCCCACCCTTACCACCTCCAGCAGCTCACCCAAGTAAAAACAGCTGTTACCATGGGACAAATCATGCCAGAAAGCACACCCCACTCAGGCAGGAGAAGAAAACAGAGAAAAAGAGGTACAGCCCCCATTGGGAATCCCTGGGAGGTGCTCAAGAATGGCCTAGGGTCAGGAGCCAACTGTAGACAGTGTCAGAACCAGGAAACTGTCATAATCCTGAGTACCCAGAATTTGGGAAGCCAGGAGCACTCAGACATGATGCCACCAAAAGCCATCTCTCTCACCCAAGGAGGCTTAAAGAATTACACAAAAAGAAGTCCACGGCTATTTTTCACATGACCAAATCAACACTTACTTAATAAAGAAAATCTAGTAGAAACAAGGAAGTAGAGAAAAGAAAAAACTTTTTCCAGCTTGGGAATGTCACCATGTTTGCCACAAGAGTTTGTGGTCTGGGACATCCATGTCCAGCTGGAAGGGGCTACCCTGGATTGGGGCGGGTCTAGCAGAGAAGCCAGCAGGGGTTCACTGCTGCATCCCTCCTGGGCCCTCCACCAAGGCTTGCTGCCTGAGGTCTCTGAGGGCCCCAGAAGTCACAGGGAATGAGGCAGAAGCCCCCTGGCCACACACCGGGAAGACGTGTCGTTTATGAGCTTCCTTTCCTCATCTGTGAGCGGGGTGTGGTTGGCTTTGCCTGAGCAGGTCTAGCCATCTCACCATGCCTAGGAGGAAAGTTCTGTCCTTCCCCACAATGGGGCATGTGCTCATTAGCCTGGGACCTAGCAGGCCCTTTGGAGTTCTCTCCCCAGGGATGATGTGTTTCACCACCTCAAGGCTTAGCAGGGCAGACCTGGCTTGCCTGCACTCTGGTCAGGTGGTCAGACAGCCACCTGGGCACATGATTCATGCTGGGGTTCCAGGGCTTGTCCTGAAGTCCCACAGCTCACCTTGGCATCCCACATAGAGGCACAGGTGGGGAGAGATGTGGACAGCCATGTGGGCGCCCAGCTTGTGCTAGCAAACTCCTCTGAAAAGCAGACTTCTTAGCAATTAGGGTGCTGGTCCAGAAAAACACCAAGGAGCGGAAATGGCAATGCCCTGGCCATGGGATCCTACCACAGATCTAGGAAATGAGCATAATCTAGGGAAGGAGGGAAACCAGCTTGGCTTCCCTCAGTAACGTTGTCAGAGGAGTGAGCCTTGGCTCCCAGACCCCCCAGGGCAGGCCTGGGCACCAGGCTCCCTCTGTCTCCTTTGTCACCATGGGGATCAGACAGGGAGTGGTAAACAGAGCTGTTACCTCCTGAACTGGAGGAGGAGGCCCTGCCTGGCACTGGGGACTGATGGTGGTATTTATCTTTCATTTTCCTCTTCTCTTTCTTGCTTTTGTAATGGATGTAACAACCATGTACCCTTTTATTCTTTCCAGTTCCAAACCAATTGAGAATAAGGGGAGTCAGAATGGTGAGGCTCAATTTACGACGTAGCGTAGCATGCAGGGTGAGCATCCCCCAGTGAAGGGGACTTTCAGCTGTGCACAGCAGCTGCCCACATGGTCTGTGAAGGCACCTAGTTGGAGTTAACTTTGAGGTCAGTGTAAGGAAGATGTTAATAGGTAAGAGGCTTAACTTGTTTTTTATTTTAGACAAGGTCTCACTCTGTTGCCCCGGCCTGATCACAGCTCAGTGCAGCCTCCAACTCCTGAGCTCCAGTGAGCCTCCCAAGCATCCGGCAGCATGCTTGGCTAATTAACAGTTTGGGGTTTTTTTAGGGACCGGGTCTTGCGGTGTTGTCCACGTTGGTCTCAAACTTCTAACCTCAAGTGATCTTCCTACCTTGGCCTCCCAAATGCTGGGATAACAGTTGTAAGCCAGTATGTCTGGTGAGACTAAGCTTTCAAGTTCTCTAATGCTCAAGGAGCTGGTATAATGTGAGGGTGATAAGAGGTATTATGGAAGTAGAGGCAATAGGTTAGGAAGTGGAAAAATAAGCATTGGGGATGAAGAAGTGGTTTCATTTGCCTTACTTGCTGGAGGACAAAGAAGAGGATGCCCAGGAGGTGCAGGCAGCTGGCTGGCTTCTAGAGTGAAGCCTTCCCAAGCACTGTGGCTTCTGAGGCCTGCCCATCACCCTCACCCAGCGCCTTGGCCGTAGCTCCTGCCTGGTCTAAATAGGGCAGATCCATTTGCCTGACAATTTCACGTGGCCTCTTCAATGTTGGCACCATAAAGTCCCTCTCTGCGCATCAGCATGTAGTATCAGACTGTCCCTTCTGTGCTGATTGCACCCACATTTATCCCTATGTAGACTTTCACTTGCGCTTTTGGTCTGAAATTTTAGTGACCTACAAAATCCTTCACTTGTGCATTCTGCAGCTTGATGTGTCCAGCCATGACCCAGCCTAGCTGTGCAGGCAGAGGGGAGGCACAGAGAGCTGTTTCAATGAAGGTTCAATCTCCTTGGTCTGTGGTATACTCATAGGCAAGATGGTGCCTCAATACTACTTGGGTTTGCTGAGAAGACAAACCAAGAATAATCACAAAACAACTCTCCAGAGAGATTAATGCCTGACCCAAGAGGCTGTAATTATTCCATATTCCACATCTCAAAGCCTAAGGCCTCTGCACAACTTTAGATGCAGAAGGTAACACAATTTTAAGTGAGAATAAATTGATTATAAAGTTGTTCCCTTCCCTATGAACATCCATCCACAATAGCCCTTTTCATGATACTCCAACACACCAGGCAAAGCCCTGCCTGGGGCCTTTGCACCTGCTCTGCTCTCTGCCAGTAATACATCTGCCCTTGGTGTGTTTCCTCACTCCCTGCAGGATTTTGCTCAAATGTTACCTCCCTGGGGCCTTTCCTCATCCACCCTATTTGACTCTTCTGTGTTCTTTTCCTGATTATTTTTCTCCTTTGCGCTTACCAGCATCTAAATATCCTCAACACTTTGCTTATTTATCTTGTTTATGGTCTGTCTCCATGGGGCTTCTGGTCTGCGTGGCTACCTGCTGTATGTGACCCAGTCAGAGACCAGAAAAGCAGGCAGCCAGGAGTATCTTTTGAATGAATATGTGAATCCCTTTTTCCCATTTTGGAGGTGGGGGTATCCAAACAAATGGCAGTATGAAATTCACACTACACCTCTGATTTTATTTCCTTTTATTTGTGGCACTGAAAGACAAATAATAGATAGCTGTGATTAAGAGCAATTGGCTGGTAGCTCTGGCCTCACTGAGAGAGGTGAGCAACATTAATCGGAGAGCGGAACAAAGCTTTCTTCCCACCTGCTGCCTGGATCGGAGCCAGTAGTGAACGTTAAGATGATCTTGCCATGTTTGTTTTACACTAAGAGAATTTACTTCATGGACTTCTCTTGATTTCTAGTACTCTCTTTAAGAGTTTTTTTTCAATATAACAAAATGTTCTAGAGATATATAGTACATGAAAAAAATCACTGCTGCATTTAAACTTCATTATAAATGCTGGTGGCTGAGCACCAGGCACTGAGAGAAGATGCTATAAACACCAGGCGGGCCACTGAGTTGTTGGGCAAAAGCTTCCAGTCTAAAAAACCTGTGAAATGCTCAGCACAACTCTGATCTGAGCTGTGTGGCATGGAGTTCCCAGTAGCCCTGCTACTGGGCCTCCGTGGGATCTCAGTGGACTCTAAGGAAAGTGAGCAGGCTCCGCACACAGGCCCCTTGGGGGAGGCCTGCTCCATTTCACAGCCCGCTGGGGAACAGCTGAGTGGGCGCCAACCATCCACTTGGTGTCATTCTGATCTCAGCCACCTGCCACCTTTGGAGGACTCAGAAATCCCTGGTCACACAATCATGAGTGATTGATTTCTAGATGGCCATAGGTGACATTTTAAACTCTTACTTGGTTAGATCACAGTCCATGACTCTCTATAAGGTGTTAGCGCCAAATATGTGGATCATTATGAATGTTTTGAGACACACAAAAATCAAGAAACATAAAAATCCATGCAGATGAAAACAAATGAAGCCCTCCCAGCAACACTGGTGAGCTGAGAAAGTTGAACTTGCACACATGACTCAGAAAGGACGCTGTCAACTGTGTTTTTTAGAGGTGTAATGAGGGACCACAACACAGTCTGTCTCAAAACTTTCGTAGTGACCCATGCATTTTAGGAAGAAGAATAGTAGTTTTATTACCCAACAAAATCACCCTTGAAAAGCCCTATCTCTTTTTATCCTACTACTCAAGCACATAGCATCATATAACATTCAGATTGCTTCCACTGATTTACATATTTTCTCTACTATTCAAAGATCTTAAACCAGCAAATGGTTTAACATCTGTATGTGGAAAAAAAGTCTCAGAGGTCCCAGTCTAAGGCATTTTTCTCTATACACTTTGCCCATAAATATAATTAAGTGCGAGTGCTGGGCTCCAGAATTTATATTCCCATCAACCTGCCAACAAGAATAGTTTATTGGCAACCTAAAATATTCAGAGGCAAAACACATTTCCTTGGCACATGAGCCGTAGTAGAGCAGCATTCTCCCCTCCCTTTGAACCAGTATCCACGAACACACTGAAAATCAACCCCATGCCCTTGGACTGTCCATGAGAAGGCAATGGCAGATGTGATGATGTTCCTGGCCGCGGGAATCCTCCAGTGTGCTTGTCCTGCAGGTGGGTTCTGCAATTCCCTGGCTGCTGCTGACTCATACAAGCAAGGGCACCTGCAGAGGAGAGAGACCCAAAGTCACCCAGCGCCAGTCGATAAGCCCAGGCTGGGATGCCATCCTATTAGCATTCCTGGAACAACTTGGATTTCATACAGAAACCTGTCCCACTTACAGTTCCAAGGATCAACCTTTCCAAAACAGAAACATGACTAAATGCTTTCAGTGACTTGTAACTGCATTCAGAAAAAAAAAAAAGAACAATTGGAGCACCTGTGGATATACTGGCAGGTCCTTGCCATCCTCCAAGAGCCACCCCTCCCTCAGGCCTCCCCAGCTTGCCGTGGTGTCTGACTGGATTGTCTCTCACAGCTGCAGTGAGGCCCTTGAGGCAGGTCCAACAGCGGACTCGCCACCACATCCCCAGTGGTACCTGGAGCTTCCTGGTGCCAGGTATCTGTGGGGTGAATGGACAAGATCGTATCCCACTAGCTGAGAAACCTCAAACCTCTGCTGTGAATTCAGATTGCATTGTCCTATGACTAACATGTAGAATTCAGGAGAAAATATTCCAGTGTCTCCAAAGGCAAAAGTCAAAACCTACTTCCAAGCAAAGGGATTGACATGTGAAACAATGCAAAAAGGAACGTGGGTGTTCCTTGCTGGTGTTTCATTGAGTTCAACACATTCCAAACTGAGCTGGGCCAGTCCCTCCCCTATCTCCAGAGGCTCTCTGGCCTCCAGGACAGAGTGCAACTCCCTGGCACAGTGTGCAGGGCCCTTGCAACCAGGTCCCCACCCTCCTTGAAGTCCCATGTTCACACATTCGCAGTCCTTTGAGGCAAATACCCTAACCCTTCTGTACACAGGGTCTCCCTGGGGAGCTGGAACAGAGAACTGTGCTGAAGTGAGGTGACCTGGCAGTGTTGGTGGGGATGGAGCAGGCCAGAGAGAGGTCTAGAGGCTGCATGCCCACAATGGGCCCTGCACCAGCCCAGCATGTGTTCAACCAGCATGTGGCCTAGGGGAGGGTGGATGGCAATGGCTGTTATTGAGAAATGAAACACAGGTAAGGGGCAGGGCTCAGAGGTGTCGCACGGGATGCCTCTGCTCTGAGGCCCCCCTGTGGATGCTGGCAGGCGCTAAAGACCTGAGTCTGAAGCAGAGTAAGTAGGCAGAGGCAGAGAATCTGGGGCACTGGCACCTGGGTACATAGAGCTAGAGAGGAAGATGGGTCTGCCACAAGAGGAAGCAAATTTGGGAGAGGCGAGGCCAGAGGATTAACTGCAGAGGCCACAGGGAAGGTTTAGGGCAGAGCAGACACGAGCTGGGACCCTTGGGGAGGCAAGGGTGAGAAGGCAGGGGGTGGGTGTCAGCCAGGCTGAGAACTAAAAGTTGGGAAGCAAATGTGTCTTTAAGGAGTAGGTTGGTTACATGTTCAAGTAATAGACTCAATGTGCTTTTCTTCAGACTCTGCACAGCTTCCCAGGCCACATTCCTCTAACTCTGACATAATAGTTTTAATTGTTAATCTGACAAAAAGCACAGAAAAATTCATTGAAAGATGTCTAAAATAGGAAATATCCCACGTTGGTAGGTTGAAGAACACCATGTTGTGCCTCTTCTTTGGAAATGGCAGTCAGCATGCTGGCAAAAGTCACTGGCATTTTCTGCGTCTTGGAAGCTGGCAGAAAGAAGGCCGAGCTCCTGGGCTCAGCACCACTGGCCTGACGAGGGTGTGGGCGGCGGGAGGACAGAGAAGGGGGCAGCACGCCAGCACCGCAGCAGGAGGCAGCTATGTGCAGAACGCACAATTTGGGCAATTGAGGGGGCTGGGTACATGGGAGGATGGAGACCATTTAAAATCTCTGCTGTTACAGTAGAACCTCTGTAAGGTAACAACTCATAGGACTGTGACAAACTGGGCAACATACAGAGGTCGTCAATGTAAGGAACTGTAAGGGTTAACAGAAATATTAAACTACATTGTAAGAGGAAGTGCTAGCCTAATTTAACCCCCACATGAAAAGGCCGGATAAAGAGACCAGTACTGGTAAGAAAACCGGATAGAACTAGCTACATTGTACAAGACTTAAATGGAAACGCAGAGCACAGTGCAGGGCCCCTCCCTTCAGAACAGCATAACCCCTCCGCCCTCCCTAGATTCAGCTTCATGAAGTAACCACCCCCCCTCAACTAACCCTATATAAGATTGTACCGATCCCTAATAAACAGCTTCGGCTCAGCCTTCTCCCTATACTGTTTGAGTGGTTGTGTGATTGTGTCCACCCTTTCCCTCTCCCTCTCATACGCTGATCACGAACTCCCAGACGCTGCCTGCCGGTCGGGCAGTGTCAAGGAACTGAGCCTACTATACTGACATGTACATGTGGTATGTGTCTTGTCTATGAAAATTAGGTCAATTTAAGGAGGTGTTAAATGTAGACAGGTGGAGGTGATCAACTATGGAGGTTCTATGGTTATTTTCAGTGTCACTCACATATTTCAAGTGTAAACTCTGATGTTTTGATATACGTACATACCCATGAAGTCACCATCATCACCACCACATTACTGAACCTCTTATCATTCTAAGAGTTTCCCCATCACCCTTTTTAATCCCACTCTCCTCTTCCAATCCCCAGACAACCACTGATGACCACCTATCACTAGAGATTAGTTTGTCTTTTCTAAAATTTTATAAAAATAGACAATACACTATATATTCTTTGATTGTGGCCTGGCTTCTTTCACTCCACAAAATTATTGTGAAATTCATCCATGCTGTTGGATGTATCAATGTTCTTTTTATTCTATGGAAATACTGCCTTTTGTCTACTTATTATTCTGGTGATGGGCTCACAGCTGTTTTTAATTTGGGGGCAATTACAAATAAAACTCCTGTGAACACTGTATATGAATACGTCTTTGTGTGGACACGTGCTCTCATTTATCTTGGCTAAACACCAAAGACCGGAATGGCTGGATATGGTGGTTGTAGGTTTAACTTTTTAAGACTTTGTCAAAACTGTTTTCCAAATGGTTGCGCCACTCTAATTCCCACAGTTGACGAGAGTTCCAGTTGCTCCATATCCTTGTCGACACTCTGCATTGTCGTTTTTAATGCAAGTTTGGCCGGGTGAGTGGACGTGTAGGGGAGTCTCACTGGGGTCTTGATTTCCTCTCCATAGAGACCAGAGATGTTGAGTATCTTCTCCTGTGCTGGTTTGCATCTGTTTGTCTTCTTAGATGGAGTGTCTATTCGAATCTTTTTGCCTACTGTATTAGGTTAGTTATTTGCTTATTATGGAGTATTGAGTGTTCTTTATGAATTCTGAATGCAAGGTTTTTATCAGATATATGCTTTGCCAATATGTAGTTGTAGTACGTGGCTAGTATTTTTGTCCTCTTAGCAGCATACTCTTTTGAAGGGCAAAAGGTGCTAATTTTAATAAAGTCAAATTTATCAACTTGTATTTTTATGGATTATGCTTTTGGTTTCAAATCTAAGAAACTTTTGGCTGAGCCAAGGTCACAAGAATTTTTTTTTTACAGTTTTACATTTTACATTTAGAGCTATAATTAATTTTGAGTATATGATGTGATGTATGGATCAAAGTTAATTATTATGCATAGATATTCATGGCTGCAGCACCATTTGTTGAAAAAAAAAAAACAAAGAAAACTGATTCTTCTCCACTGAAATGTCTTTGTATCTTTGTTAAAAATCAGTTTCCCATATATGTGGGTCTATTTCAGGACTCCCTAATCTGTTCCACTGATACAGTTATCTAGCATGAGGCCAACAGTACACTGCCTTACTTAGCACAGTGTTATTTATTATGAACATTGAAATCAGGAAGCAGTAGCTCACCAATTTGGTTCTTTTTCAAAGTAGTTTTCACTACACTAAGCCCCTTGCATTTCTACATGAATTTTTAGAAGCTACTTGCTGATTTCTATGAGAAGCCTACTGGAAAAAAAAAAAAAAAAAGCCTACTGGTATATTGATTAGGATTAATCTGAATCGATAGCTCAATTTGTGGAAAATAGACACCTTTTTCAAAACAAAGTATATACGTGTATGTATATAGCGTATATGTCCATTTATTTAGGTCTTTTAAGAAATTATCTCAGCAACGTTTCATGGTCTTACATACTGTTGGTCAAATTCATCCTTAAGTAATTACTATTGGCGATGCTCCTGGTTTTTGTAATTATAATGCTGCTATCTCCTGCAACCTTGCCAATATCTCCTGTTAAATTTGGAATGTTTTATAGATTACAATGGATTTCCCACTCTTAAGGGCTATAAATAGTTTTATTTCTTTTTTCTTTTTTTCCAAATTGAATTCCACCTGCCTTCCTACCTTCCCTTTTATCTGGCTGCAATGGCTGGAATTTCCAGCATGATGTTGAAGAGGAGCAGTGAGAACACATTTCTTACTTTGTCCTTGGCCAGGGGCAGTGCTCACCCTTCCCTCAGTGGCGGCTGCCTCTTGCCACTACTGCTTTTACCAGTTTGCAAATGTTCCTTTCTTTTCCTACTTTATGTAGATGGAGGTTGGATGTTATCAAATGCTTTTAATAGTAAGAGATTACCATATGTTTTCTCTTTTTTAGTTTGTTAATACAAGGCATTAATTGGTTTCAAATGTAACCCAACCTTGCAATGTTGGGATAAACCTCTCTTGGTCTAGATATATTATCCTTTTTTTTCCCCTGTCTTTTGTATTTTGTCTGAATTTCTGGTTGCTTTAGGTGGAATGGTAAATGCAGTCACATGAACTCCATTTTGCCCAAAAGCAGTGGTTCCTGGGGATAGTTCTTAAGCAGGTAAAAATTGAACACATGTTACATGCTTTGTTTTATTCTTTCTTTTCCTTTTGTACTGTCAGCAGCATTGACTGGTCCACGTCCAC